CATACATTATTTTGTGCTGGATTATTTGTTAAATGCTTCAGTTTATTCCAATAACACAGAATACTGAAATAGGCTATTAGATATCTGCTCAAACTAACATGCTACTAAAAATGGCCATACATGTTGCTAAAACTACTCACAACTCTCCATTCGGAAATAATTTCAAAGAATTATAATTTTCTATTTATTATAATTGCAATTATTTATGTATAAAACATGAATTTTTCTTTGAAATATTTACACTGCAATACAATATTTTGTAATATAAATACTCTATTTATGCTGCATGTTTGAAACATATAGCAATTAAAATGCAACAAATCGGGCCATTTATTCACAATAGGTTAATAAAAATAAGGCATACCAACTGTTGTGAAGTCAAAAGCCGTTTAATTTTTATTTCTATAGTAAATGCTTATCATATTTCATATTGTCATATTTCTTTGTTTAAATGATTTCGCAGGGGTAAAAATAACAAATTATAAAATTATAGAATATTAGAAAAATTATTGACAGAAATTTGGTATTAAGTGATTATTTGCTTCTTGTGGGTAAGATGTATTTTCAAAAAGCAGACAAATATTAAAGAGGTAAACAGTTAGATAAAGATTGAGAAATAATCTTTATAAAGAAGTTTTTTTTGTTTTTATGATTGTAGAGCTTCAATAATTTATTCTTATGTTTTAAAATCTTCAAGTTTACATAACATGCTTATATTTGAAAAATGAAATTGTTGCGGGTATTACTTTATTGCATCTATCTGAATTTAAGATAAGTGCTGTTGTTACTGATAACCATTCTACCAATGTTAATATCATTTTTATATTTCATAAAGCATATACTAGAGATGGACAATTACTAATTTATCATCCAGTTTAGAAAAAGAGTATTTAAAATATGCTTATTATTTGATATACTCCGTTTTATAATGTAAGAAACAGCTTGTTAAATGCAAAAAAGTTTTTTTTTTTCTTCTTTTTCATTTTATTTTTTTCAGCGACTATTTTAAAGTTACTGCTGGTTACATTGCAGAGAATATATTTCCTAAAGTTTATTAAAAAATCAATTATTAAACAGACAAGAAAAAGCAAGAAAAATTAATTTTCAAGTCATATTTTCGAAACAATATTCAAGTTCTCGATATGGACAATATTTGGAAACTATAATAATATTGTTAAAAACAACTGCAGCTGTAATATAGAGAATTGTTACTGAAAGAATTAATGCAGCAGAATTTTTATCAATGTTTTATAAGTTATTTATCATACTTAATTCAATGCAGAAAATTATTTCATGCAATCAAACTCAGTAATGCTCTTTTCAGCAAAGATAACCAACCACACTTTATAGAGAAGAAGCAAATGTGCTGAAATTCGATCAAAATAAAATTTGATTAATACTTTACATTATTCAAACAAACTTCTTTTGCTCTAATGTCTACAGCACTGCAAGCAATTTTATCTTTTATGATTAATTTGCTTAAAGAGGGCTTTACATTTGTTCTTAGTTCCAATTTACAAAGTGATCCTTTCGAAAATAGTATAGTTAAATGACCATTAGTAGACTTTTTGTGAGTCTTTAAGAAATAACTGCTAATGTTCAAGAAATAACTGCCTACTAATAACTGTTATGCATTAATAAAAAAAATTTTCACAGAAAATTTTTATCAGAATTTTGATAATCCTTAAAAAACATTATGGAAGATATTGCTTAGTTGTCTAATAAATACAGCATGTCAGCTTTCTGAAAATAGCACAAATATATACACTTAAGGTTTTAGTATAGCAAGTAATATTGGTAAAAATTAACAAAAAGATTTGGTGATAAACTTATGACCAATTAACGTTACTTTATACAGAGAAAGACCTATATATCTAATTCAACCTCTGTTTAATTTTATTTATAATCTTTTTAGTATTTTATGTTATTTCTCATAAGAAAACATTGCAGTCATTTTTTTTTATAATTAAAATTTTGAAAAACAAGTTTTAAAGGTTTGTTATACCATAACAAATCTTTGCTATAACAAATCACTGCTGTAACATATAGCAGTTATTTGTTATAGCAAAGTATTTCTTTTTTTGTATTTTATTTTTGAAAATTATTATAAAAAATATTATTTGGTTGAATTAAGAAATTACATATTCATTAAGGAAAGATCAAATAAAAGAATTCCAGAAAAGACAAAGACCAAAAAATATTCTTATTTATAAGTTATTTTTTCTTATAATTTTATTTATAATAAATACGAAACTACAAACCTTTGATTTTAACTTCAATGGAGAGTTTTAAGCAATTTTAGCAACATATAAGGTTATTTTTAATAGCATGTTAGTATGTGTTGATATAGCTATCTGAAAGCCTATTTCAATATTCTGTGTTATTGGAATAAACTGAAGCAGGCACTCAGTTAACAAAAAATCCAGCACAAAACAATCTAAGTACTCAAAGAAAATTTAACTACTATTAAACCATTTTAATAAAACAAAAATAAAAAAGTTATATTTCAAACAAGACTCTTAGCTATAACAAAAATTTAAACTTGAGTCGCAATAAAACTGGCCTCCTAATTTTTTAAGGAAAATACAAAAAATCAGACCGTGTAACTTAAGTAGGCCATAAGCCCACTTTTTATAATTGTAGATTATTGAAGCATTTAAAAAAATAGTTTTAAAAAACCAGCATTGTTTTGTCTAAATCAATTAAGTCGAAAATATAGCAGATTCAGTTATAATTAAAATAGCACTTATGAAGGTTAAAACAAACCATCACGTTATATATTTAAATTGAAAAACAATAACATGAAATTTTTCATAATTGTTGAATAATAATGCCAATAATAATATTATTTTCTTTGGTATTATTTTAAAATATATTGGCATATGAAAATATTATTTATATTGGCTTATTTTTATAAAGTTAATAGGTTATTTAAAAAAAAATAAAACATACTGACAAAAACGAAGCTCATATTTGAATTTAGCATTAAAAAACACATTAAAACTAATTTAATTATCTCATGAAACAGATCTAAAAAAGTCACACATAAATTTTTATAAATGTAATAAGGCTTATTGTAGCCCTGTTGAAGTCAAAAATAAAAATACTCAATATAAATTTTCATAACGTACTGTGAACAAAAGAGATTACCAGATTTTATGTTGCCGCACTTAAAACAAATTCTTATGCATAAAAAAGTATTATCCATATTGGTTCAAAAAAACTTATTACCGAAGTCAAAATGCACTACAACCATACATTTTTATACAAAACAATATTCTAAAATTGTAAATAAAATTCTTATTTTGTTTCTTTAAAAAACGATTTGAAACAACTTTGAAAGTGTCAAATATATTTAATTGAAAAATTAAAATTAAAAAATACTTTTATCACTGGAAACTACAATTTTTTCTTAACGAATGTCACATGATTTTTTTCAGAATCATTTTTTTTAATTTGTTGTACTTAAAATATTTACATGTGTTTATTGCATTACACAAATTTTTACAAAAAATAATTTTAAAGGCATAGTTATTATTTGGAGCAATCCCACTGTATTAATTATATGGTTATTATCATTGATACAAGATTATAGTCTAAGTTACTTCTAGACTAACTGAGCTAATATATTTGCTAGATAAGAAATACTTCAGCACAGTAGTTAAGTAGTTTTTAAATTGCAGAAATTTAAGATTTAATCTTAATACTAATGGTATTTCTTTTAAATTCTCTTTGTTCTTTTTTCTACTAAAAGTAAGGTGAACTCAATAAGAAAAAATGAATAAAAACTTATTTAGAGACAAATTCAGCTAACTATATATTGGGATTATTAATTAGCGACAATAATATATTGGGATTATTAATTAGCAACAAATGCTATTTATCAATTCTTTGTCCTAGGTAAAAAAATACTTTTAAACTTCTAAAGAGAGACTCGCCTTGTGGTTAATTGTAAGCTAAAGTAATCAAGTTACTTCTAATCATTTTTTAGTCATAATTTTTATCATTCTTACTATCTTTCAGTTACTTATGGAAGCTTCTTCAACTAGGTTACATTGAAAACTCTTTTGAGAAGTTAATCCAGTGACAATCTTACTTTTTATTATATGATAATCTACCTAAATATAAATCAGATTTATGATCTTCTTGCTATACATATCTTACATCTGGTTATTTTTGCAACATTAAACCCACCAGCACGGTGGTTAATATTATTAAATCAGCATTTTATACGAAGTTTCAAGTTAAAGTAAAAAAAAAATTATTTATTGATTAAGATAAAAATAATCGTATTTAAGTCTTAATTTTTCTGTAAAAAGATATATTTTGTGCAAACTTTATATAGGTTGCTCCTGGAATAACAAAAACTAAAATGGTTAAAAGAATTTTATTGAGAAATCTATTTTTTTTTTTTTTTTTACCTAATAGGGTAAATCCTCTCAGAATTACATTTGGTACACCAAATAAACTTAGAGCTTTACCTTTTTTGGTCATTTTTCTGAATTAGAAGATTGAATTACAACAATGTGAAGAATCAAATCTTAGGAGATTTTATATTTTTTCAAAATACATCAGATTTCATTCTGAACACGAATCATTTAGATATTGGATGATGATTCATTATTGTATCATGAATACCTAATCTTAGGAGATTTTATATTTTTTTCAAAATACATCAGATTTCATGCTGAACACGTTAAAACTGTATGACTTAGATCCAAATTAAGTCTTTATAAGAACTTACACAGATGGTTGTAGTTCATTTTTTGATGTGATCATTGTTATTTTTAATTGTTAGATATCTCGGATTCTCTAAAAAATTTACAATCATTTACTTGATTCATTCCGATTGTTCAGTGTTTGAAAGATTTTTATAATGTAAACATACTTTTGTTTTTCAAGCATGTTCACTAAAAAAAATTATAACATATTTAAAGAACTCATTTTTTTCTGCACAATTAGAAATTCTGCACGTTAGAAATAAATACAATATGGAAACCCTATTCATAAAGTTCAACTGAGTCAGCTATATTTGCATGTGGCACACCATAATCAAGGATTATAAAAATTTGAACAGCAATCGTTGCATATTCTACCTCATTGTCAGTCATTCCTTGCATCAAACTATTTGTCAGTTGATCTATGTAAACTGTAAAGAAAATAAAAATATTTTAGTCTGTTAAGTTGGGTTTTTGTGATTTTTTTTAATTAAATTTAGTGTTTATTTTTTGAATTAAGTCTACTTGATTAAAAAAATAAAAAGTTACAGGATTCCTGTACATTCCTTGTAGTCTTTTTGTAACTTTTTCTGTTTAACTTTTTTTTTTCAAGTAGACTTAATGTGAGAAATAAACAATAAATTTAACTGAGGAAACAAGCAAAAAATATATTTGATAATATATATATATATATATATATATATATATATATATATATATATATATATATATATATATATATATATATATATATATATATATATATATATATATATATATATATATATATATATATATATATATATATATAATTTTATAATATATTTTTAATTGGTGATTTTTGACTATATATTATTGCTCTGTTTTTATAACAATATTGAGCACTCTATTTTATAGAAAACATTTAAAATTATTCCTATCAAGGGAAGATCTATAGGCAAGAAGAAGGTAAAGAGGGCAATGGGGGCTATTGTCCACCTTAGATATTTTAAAAAGTTTTTTTTATTTAAGTTTATGAATTTAACTGAGCTATTGTTTGATAACAGAAATAAATTAGGAAGGCTGTTTAAAAGTGATACAAATTTTTAATAAGTTTGTGTGATGCAAAAAAAAAAATTGGACTGATAGGATATTGATACAAAACTAATTTTCCTTGAAGACACGCACATTTTTTATCTTATCTTTTCACGCATGTATTTTATTTTAGAAAACTTGGTCACGGCCGTTTGCAAGTTTTATAAAATTAGGCAATTCAATACTTTGCGGAATAAGCTAAGTATTAAAAACAAAGAAAGCAAAACTTGCAAAATGAGAAATTATAACAAGTTTCAATAGAAAGTATATAAAAAATTAATAATTTAAATTTTTTTTTTCTGTTTTTATTTGTGTTTCTTTAGGGCGTTTGTACTTTTACCAACGAAAATGGATAAAGTAAAGCAAAAAAAAGTCCGCAACAAAAAAAATGATTTTCCTATATTATATTTATAATTTTAATGAAGAAGGCTAATATATAAATTGCAACTTTTTTGTAATATATATTTGAATAATTTAAATGTATCAAGTATACTTTTATGTTTAAAAGGTTCGATTTGAGTGCCGCATCATAAAACCTGTTATACTCTTTGGTTCACAGTGACTGCAAAAACTGTTTTTTCCATTATATTACAAGTGTAACAATAAAATATAATTTAAATTTTTTTTTAATATAAAAAATCAACATGAAAACAAAACTTCAAAATAGATCAAAAAGCTTTTCACAAATGTTAAATATAAATTTGATGTTTTGTTGGTAGTTATTGTCAAATTTGTCAAACAAAAAAACAGTTGCAAAAACTTTTAATAAAAAGAAAATCATTTGTGTATGTAACTCGATTGAATTTGGCTTGATTTCGATTGAATTGGCTTGAGTTGGCTTGAATTGGCATTCGAATGAATTGGCTTGATTTCGATTGAATTGGAATTAGTTCACGTTTCTGAATTCTTGCAAAATATTTAAGAAGAACTAAAAGAACTAATATTATAAAAGTACACAAACAAGTTGACTTTTGATATAAATTTAATAAAAGTGGAAACTTTTGTTTAGTTTATTTCTCTCTTTTTTTTAAAAAAAACTTTTTTTTAAATTTTTTTTCTTATCGAAAGGCTACTAGTTGCACTAAATGCTTATAAAAACTAAAATTAAATTCTTTAATAATAAATATTAAATTTTGCAATTTGTAATGTTTAATATTAAAGAAGTCTTCCAAATAACAACTCAGTTTCTGTGACAGTTTATGCTGTCAGGACACTATTTTCTGTACAATACAGTTAGCATTGTCCCTAGAGTCTACAAACATTAAGGGTTTATGAAAATTAGAATGAAAAATAACTTTACTGCCAACAAAAACCAGAGAATGAGATGATGAAAAAATTAATTTATTATAGCCTACGGCCTAGAAACATAACCATAAGTGCTATCGGAAAAAAGTAAATTTATTATTAAACCTGAAAGAAAAGAACAAATTTTTCAAAAGCAAACTAATTTAATTTTGTTTAATATTTACAAATATAGTAATATTGGAACTGAAACATTGCTATTGCATTGAGCTAACTTTGTCACTTTTTGCGCAAGCATAATCACAAACTTTATTAAATGTTATTTCCAGTATAAGTCATTTTAAATGGAAAGCAATCCAAAGAAGTAAATCGTGGTTGTCTTACCATTAACCCCGGAGAATTTATTATATTTAAGTTTTAAAAATAATCATTTTTAGCACTTGTTACAAAAATTAATTATAAATTAAGAGTGCAAACTTTAAATTAGGAAAACTTCTCACCAGTCTATCGTCTATTTGTGCTCTAATCAGCCACAGCCACAGGTTAGCCACAGGTTTATTTAAGAACACATTCTTGAGAACAAAAAAAAATATTTGTGAATAATTTTTTGAGATCTGATTAATGTTCTGTAATTAAATCCTTTCGCTTTAGAAAAAAATTTTCAAAACTCGAAAAGAATCTACCAAGAGAGAAAATTAAACCTTTTATGACGTATTGAGTAACCTGCTAGATATATTTTCGTCTCAGTTTTAATTCTGTCAATGATCTGAAAACAAAACGCATTAGTAGCATTTATATTTACACTGAGATCAGCATTATCCATAACTTCATTGTGGTATTCAAACTTTTTCTTTTCAAACTTTTTCGTGTAGTTTCTTTATAATATATTTTTTTTTCTAACCAAAATTATAAGGATTTTATCAAAAATAACATAATTCAAAATAGACAAAATTTAAACTTAAAATTCATTTGTAATTTTATAGCAAATAAGTGTAGTTCTCCTTGTGTTCTGTAAATGAAGTGATTTTTTTATGAAATCCTAGCCTACGATTGTTATAGCTGACTGCCTGCTAAGATTAAGAATTACATTTAAGGACTAAAAGAAGTGTTTTGTAATAAAGGCCTGCAAAAAAAGTTTTTTGCAGGCCTTTATTACAATAAAATTTAAAATCACACATTACAAATTTTTTAATAAGTTATTTATAACATAAAAAGTGCTTATTCTGTTTAATTGTAATTATTAAAATAAAACAAAATGTTAGTTAATACAGAGCCAATGACACCGGGGCGGCCTTTACTTTTTTACTTTTTTTTAAACTTGAAACCTTTAACATACAATTTTATAATATAACATCTTTAACATGATATTTTATAATTTAAAACCTTTAGCATACAATTTAAAATGAAAAATTAAATAACAAAAAAAATAAGTTACAAACAACTAGTTGACACAATATTTTATGGTATTAATATAAAAAAATATATATATATCTAACCAATTTTAACTTTGCAAATAAATCCTAATGAAAGATTGCAAAAGTTATTAATCCAACCCTCTGATGTTATTTCCAAACAGTCCTTGTTAATCTGATTGTTTGGTGAATTAATTTTCCAATTGAAGAAGAGTAAACTTGCATTATCTGACCACTCATAATTGCCATTATTCTGAATATCATTTAGACCTATATAATTAATGAGTTATAAAAAAATTTACTTCACATTTTTAACTTATATAAAAAAGTAAGTTTAAGAATAGTATAAAAAACTAACGTATTTTAAATTAATATCCGTTTGTTCACAAACTGCTTAACTGATTAGGTATTATGTATGTATGTTTCAAAGTTTGTCACCTCACCTAAAGAAAAAACTTAGTTGTTTGCTAAAAACTTTTTTATCACTATTACCTCCTGATTCACCAGTTGTGTTCTACCTGATATAGCCGACAAACAGATTGGTCCTTGCTTGACATTCTTATCGCTTCAGCTTCTGTATCTAAAGTGATATTTTGCTTAGACACGTCTACAGCTTATAGTCTGGACAACACACTTGTTAAAGTCTTGCAGAAGTGTTCTCCGGAGCTGAAGCCTATACTTTTAAAACTATTTAACAAGTGCTGACTCGTCTTACTACCGTCTTATTAGTCTTCTTCCTATCATTAGCAATTTTCTCGACCTTTAATTGACAAATACTTTATTAAAAATATTTTAAATCTTTAATTAAATAATCTCTCATCTTGAATCTATTAATTTACTTTCTGATCATCAACATGAATTTCGATCTTCTCGTTCTGCAACTGATTTGCTAACAGTAATAAACATATAGTTTAATTGTGCAATGGAAGAAGGTGGAGAGGTTAAGGCAGTCGCTTTTAATATTTCTGACACTTTTGATAAGGTTTGATATGCTGGTCTTCTTCATAAACTACGGTATATCAGGTAACAACTTTAAGATTGTTGAATCCTTTCTTTTCAATCGTAGTATAAAAGCTGTTTTCGATGGACAACAATCTACTTCATATCCTGTAACTTTAGATGTTCCTCAAGGTTCTATCCTCGGCCCTAAACTCTTTCAAATTTACATTAACAAACTTTTAGTTATTCTCTAATCTAAGGTGGCATTGCTTGCTGATGATCATCATTTATTCTTGTCTCAATAAGAAAATACCTATAGATACCTAACGCTCTCTCTCTCTCTCTCTCTCTCTCTCTCTCTCTCTCTCTCTCTCTCTCTCTATGAAAAGCAAATATTTAATTATTACTTAGAGAGGGCATTTAAGCTTGAAAAAAATCTTACTTACGCAATAGCATTGAGCTCAAAGTGGCTGAGGAACTTTTATTCAGATTAGAACCAAATTTTTTCAGCCGTTCGTTATGGCAATAACTTAGATCTTCCTTTATTTATAAAATTAATATACTCAATGAGTTATCTACCTTTCATCTTCAAAGATTAACTTTCTAGTTTTTCTTGTAAACCATATATCAAATTAATTGTAAAATTAACATCTGCTAAGATTGCATCTATTTATTGCGCTTAACACATTCCTACTCAGGATTCTGTTCTTTGTCTCAACAAATCTTAAATTCAACCTTGTGTTGAATAATGTTTCCACATCAGGGGCTATATAATGTAAACATAGTTACACCTGCTCTTGTAGATAATTTCCAACCATTATCACATTGTCATGATGTTGCTTCCCTTTCTTTTTTCTACAAATACTATAATAAACACTGCTCTAAAGAGCTAGCTTAGAATTTGCTTTCTTTATCTTGCTTTCTTGATTTATATAATTTGCAGTCTTTAAAGTTGTCTGTCAATCGTTATTTTGCTCTATAAACTTTACAATTTCTTTTTCAGTAATTTCTACTGCAGCCTTGTTGGAAGCAAAGATGCTCAAATATATAAAAATAAGAAAAAAAAGCATTTGTGTATGTTAAGCTTGTGCTTGTGTATATTTTGATTTAGTAAACTGTTAAGTATATAAATATTTAATAATCTTTATAGATTTTTTTAATCTAGAAAAAAACAAAGAAAATAATCAAATTGCAATATTCTCCGAAGCCATAAAGTAAATAAGTTCCTTTTTATTAACTAAGGTTCACGCGTATTTTATTCTATTAACCTTAATGCTCAACGAATCCCTCCTGAGAATCTGCATGTATTTTTTCCTGGTATTTCTGATAACAATTGATGAGGAGGACAAGTATCATTGACAAAAATTTCTGCTGTTAAAGGTTGGTAAAAAAAAAAGTTTACTATAAGTGTTTTCAGGAAAGTTTTGATAAAGACATCTTTATGTGTTAATGTTTAATAAGAGTTAGAAGTTTATTAAAAGCATTCGGGCTAAAAAGAAGAAACCACATTCTCTTGTAGAGAATGTGGTTTCTTCTTTATCTGGATACCTTATAAGAAGATATTGACGGTTAGCAGCTATGAATTGAAAATTATCTAACATTAATAACTGAGAAAGACAAATAACAATTTTTAACAAAAGTATAAAATTTAGTTATTCCAGGATGACAGAGTAATTGATGAATCTAAATTAAGTTGTCAGAATTTATTGATGGGCAATGTAATCTATAAAATTGTTAGCTGGAATTTTTAGTTTTCTTCCTATTAGGTTGCTGATCAGTATTAATTCTAAAACCCCATCTAGTTAAATATGTCTCTAATGTCTGACTGCTTCTGCTTCGTTGCATGCTTCTTTCTCAACAGAAGGGTGTTTGAGTTTTTTTCTTGAAATGAAAGCATCAGGACAACCATTTTGATAAGGAACTGCAGCTAGTAATGTCAGATGCATCAGTTTCTACTTCGAGCGTATTTAGAGGTTCATTTTAATAGAGGGATGACACGCATAGCTTCATAGGTTTGAATTTAATATGCTATCGTATCTCTTTTATTGGTTGAAAGAAACTGGGCCTAACTTTTGCTTTTTCTAGAATATAACCAAGAATCTTAATTTTTTTTTTGTGAGAAACTAAACATATAATGATTAAGTGTAGAAATAATATATTTTAATTTAAGAAAAAGATTACTATTTTTATTTTCCAGATTACATTCTTTTCTTGGGGTTTTCCTCATATGATATAGACATATGATGCAGACATCTGTTTAAAGTATCAGATCTTTGCTTAAACTTGGGTTATAACTACTGATAGTACTTGATCGGCTGCTACCAAATGTCATTCTTATAAGTTTATAATTACTAATATATAAATGCTTAGTGACTTATATAAGGATGTTAATAAATACTCTGGTTGCCTTGGTTACCTATCTGCTTTTATTTTAGGCGCAAGTGGTACATTTGCAATTATAACTTTATTTGTGATCCCTAATTTTATATCCATGAACATCTTTTTATAGCTGAAAGCTGTCTTTTACATGATTCTTTTACTATTGTTAGAGAGGCATGGGAAAACTCTTTTTGGATTAATCATAGTCTTATCACAATGCTTGGTGAATAACTTCAATACAATTAGGTCTACCAGTTCTTACTCTTCATATTTGATATTTTATTTAAACTAGATATCTCATTGTCTGCTACTGTTCTTCCAACTTTTACAAGATCTATCTAAGTAAATTTTAATGCCATGCACAAGCATATATAAATAAAGTAAAAGTTTACCCTTTTATCATGTTGCTTAAATGATAAAAAAGTACACTTTTACTGTATTTAACTCAGTGTCCTCAATCAAAATATATCTGTTTGAAGTAGTTAACTGAAGAAATCTTCACTGTTATTCAAACGAGCTTATAAGGCTGAATAATTTTCTGTATAAAGTACTTAATGATTGTCATACTCAATCTTCATTCAATTGTCTTAACGCTTCTAAATCTAATTGTAAAAAAAAAATCATTTTATGCTAGGTTGAACAGTTTGTGTAAAAGATGCTCATTACGTTATGAAATGATGCTAAATCAAGCTGTTATGTATAAGATTTATGAGATGCATTCTGTCAATAGCATAGTTATAACAAACCAAAATTTGGTCCAATTTTCAGTATTTTTAAGAAATCAAGAGTTTTATACAAAGATGCCATTTGTCAATGTAAAAAAAATGTCAATGTAAAAAAAACCAAAAAGTTAGAAAACAGTTTACCGAATTATACAAACTTCTTGTCTACTGTAACTTTTATAGGAATTCATTAATGGCTTTTACCACATTCTTCTGACTTTGCCTCTGTTAATATTAATGGTAGTACACATCAATTATGGCATAAACACTATTGCACTTAGTTTACTTCAGTCAAGGCAATATGCTTTATAAATGATTTCTTTACACATAACCATTGAAAACTTTTTAAGAATGATGCCCATTATGTAACGCTTGATGACCCGTAGAAATGCTCTTGACCACTCTGGACTTTATTGAAGCATTATCTTTATGCTAGCGTTAATTGCTTTAGTTTATTATCAATGATATTATCTCTGCATTTTGTCACAGATACATGTCTGTTGTAGCCGCACATTCTGTTATTTTACATATTGTTAAATATAAGAATCGTGACATCTCTGACTCCGCAAATTTTTCTGATTATTTTGGTTTCCTTGTCTTCCATAATTTTAGAACTCATTTTGTTTCATGCATTAACATAAATTGTGATTTCTAATCAATGTATATGTGTGTGTGTGTGTGTGTGTGTGTGTGTGTGTGTGTGTGTGTGTGTGTGTGTAAACACACACACACACACACACACAAGCATAAACAAAAAATTTATTAAACAATAAACATACAATCAAATAGAATTTTAGTTTAAACTAAATGTTTACGTTAAAAAGTTCATTTCAAACTGAATATTTTTAATTTTTAAAACATAAATGAAATGATTTACATACATAAATCATTTTGTATATATTTAAAGTTTTAATATGAATATTTAAAGGTTTAAATTATTTTCACACTGACAATAAAGCATGTTTTATTTAAAACGCTTTTTCTGTTTTTATTGTTACCAACTTTATAAAACAGCAATAAAACAATATGTCGAGGTTTTTTATATTAACAACAGTTTTTTACTTTGACGAACAGCTAAGCAGTTCTGTTTTATTGCTGTTTTTTATAAAAAAATTTCAATAATAGTATAATACGCTTTTAAAATTAAACGTTTCTTATAGTCAGTATGTACGGGGTATAAATATATTGAACTGAATTCACTTGTTTTTGGTTATTTTGATGCTAACCCAG